TTGTATACATGGCTCGGATCCAGTGAATCCCACTTCTGCTTGCCCTGCCCTTACATTCATTTACAGCCACTCCGAGTAAACCAATAGAATTACTTGCCAATTACTTGCCGTGATTGTGGTGACGAGTATATTGGAGAAACGGCAAGACCACTCCACGTGAGGGTAAAGGAGCACATAGATGGTATGAGGCGACTGGAAGAGTCTACTGCCTTGGGGAGTCACCGAATCCAAAAGCATAACGGAGGCGTTTTTGAGGTCACCGTGGAGGTCGTAGCACAGGAATCGCAATTGTGCGCACGTAAAACCCTCGAGGCGTTTTGGATACAGGTCACCAGTCCCAAAATGAATCGTAGGGAAGAATGTCTCGCAATCACGCGTGAGCTACGACCTTATATAAGGCTGGCCTTCCCGCAGAGGCTTTAATGACGACATACCCCAGCTGACACTGGTCGGTTGGTACCATCACTCGCTGGGTGGTTTCGAAGAATCCACAAAGCTACGGTGAGTGGTTCTCCTTTCAGTCACTTGTGTGCCCTGGGGGTCTCGAGCTTTAGTGGGGTTGGTGGAGACGTTTGGTCGGATAGTCACAAATTGTTATGATCCTTTCAGGCTCTGAAGAAGGCGATTCCGCCGAAACGTCAGCCTAATAAAGAATACTTTAAAAACCTCGTGAAGAGTTCAAGAAAGCAGTAAACTCAATGATACAATTATGCCGAGGTTTATAGAAAGCCGTACATGGAACTTAAACCAATAGAATTGTGTCTTCAATCGTTCCTTCTGCACACTAAAGTATTCTAGAACATTGAGCAGTCTCGCGTAGGTGAGCCAGAACCTAACTGGATCTCAAAACTTCTGACAGAGTTGAAATTCGAATTTCAACAACATAGAAATCTCGCAAGCTTCAATTTTTGACCCGGAACTTATATTCAAACATCACAACGATCACTGATGCCCTCATACGTTCGACGCGAAAACTAGACAATAGATAAGGAGAAGTTGGCCAAAGTTTGATTTCCATTCCGTTCCCAACTTATCTTTCCGCTGCGATACGGCTAATTGCTGAGCTGGACATTGAAAGCATAGATAAGAATTAGCACGCATAGTATAGAGGCTGTGAGAGGTTGAAAGCTGGAGATACACAAACTTGGGGATCACAATTCAAAACTGTACAGGAATTGAGTCCCACAGTTCTCCCTGAATCCTGAAAAACTTCTCGAAACGGGAATTGTTACAAAAAGGATCATCAACTAGCTGAGACATAAAGTTTGTCAGTTGTAGAGTGTCAGTGACGAATAAGTGTACCGAACGGGTGGGGGTACGCTTCCGAGCTCCCGAGCAAGCGGCAGAGGTTCCATAATGGCTACCGACCGTTTCATTCCACTGAGAATTCAAACACTCTCCTTCACAGTGTGCAATCGGGTCCGACGAGCGCGCCGCACCCGGCCGCACGCTCCAGGGAGAAGGACTCGGGTAACGTTGCGGATGAGGGAGCACTAAGTTCGTAGAAGAAGAGCTGGGGATAGGGAAGGGAACTATGCGGAAGGGGTGGAGTGATCACCTCTCTATAAAAAATCAGAGGTCCAAAGGCAATTGGCATATCTTCCGAGTCTAAACCTTTCTCAGCCTGCGTGAATAGAAGTAACGAACTGCTTGGGACGGCAGTAACATTCAGTACCATTAATACCTGATTCCGACCACTGGACTGATTTGCTTTGAAAATACTTACCCAATAGTTTGATCAGTCGACACTCCGATCCACACAGCAACATCACAGAATGTCATTCCATCTTGATTGTAATTTATTGAAAAATATTGAAGAGGGAGAAGTACTAGTGATGCTATTGGTAGATGGTGGAAATTGGGAGCGACCTGCCCACACCCCTTTCCAATTAAAAAAACCTTTCACGCTGGTGTTTTCACAGACACTACCTCAACGCCGTAACGTGGCAGCCGTGCAATTTTCGCCGTCTGTAATACCCTTTTTTCTGTGATTACGTACACCACAATCTAGCTCACATTTATATCAGTTTGTATTTATTTTAACATAAAGTTTATTCGTTTTCTTTTGCTGTTACATTGTGTTACTTTTTGTCTATGGTTCCACTGCTGTCGGGCAAATAGAATAGGACCTAGTGGCTCAGTGGATGGCTCTAGCTTTTGAAGCCAGAAGCAGAAGTGTCATCGAAAGCAATGTCTTCGAGTATGGCAAAAGCTCGTAAAACATCTTTTTTGGTTCATGAAATAGTAGTCTCAAAATAAAGGCTATCTTGAACTGAACCTCAAATTACAGTATTGTGAGCGGATTCTGTAGGCACCATATATTTTCTGATTTTATTACATCTTCCACAGATTTTTGATGAAATGGCCCTGAAGCTGATTTGTTTTGAGAAACATATTCTATGTTTGTTGCATTTTTTTCAATTTTTTATCTCCATAGAGTTTGCAACTTGGTTGATTTGAACTCTGTTATTCATCATGCACTTACGTTTTCTCAGTTATATTTACTTCCCTCCGGGTAACGAAGCAGTTTTTGATAATTTCAGATACCGTACCCTTATGACAGTTTAATATAATCCATGGTGATCCTTCTCAAGTAACAATATTCGACCAGACACAGTGAGAGGGAAATTTGAAGCAAACTTATATTGATTCAAATCTAGGTAAGGCTAAGTTTCAGTGGATCTTAAAGTTTGTACTAGAAATTTATTTGCTATGAAAAATTTGTTCTGTAGCTATGCTTGCCTGTTCAGAAAACCTCAAATCTCACCGAAATGTCCGAGTTTAGATGTGGCTGCGTCAAATTCTTAAGACAAATGTACGGTCGATTTCACGGGTAGCAGGGAACGGACGATACTCTTCGGATGCGGTTTTGATTCCCACCGAGCCGGAAATCAGCCAGGTAACAGTTTCGCATTGGTTTTATTCCACTATGAACTTAAGTTCAAAAGGAAATAATGCCGGCGTAAGTCTCGCAAACGTGCTGTCCGTTCTATTCCGATGTCTGATGGAGGTGAAGATCTCGTTCGAAGATTGATGTTTACCTAACTTGGCTGCCATTTTTCATATCTGTCATGCATTTTGCATTTTAGTACTTTAGATAAAAGATTCTTCCACGGAGGCTCCTCATTTCGACAAGAAGCTGATCCTCCAGCTAGAGTCCCTATCTCTTCTACGATTTGATGACGAACAAGCCGTGGCGCTACTCGGAGCTGTTGTCAGAAAGGCAAAACAATTGCGGCATGTTGGCGTTGAGGTAACACTGCCAATCGTTTGGATTCATTTAAAATGCTCGCTCAACAAAACAACCTTTTTGTCCTTCCCGTTCTGTTTTTTCTTTGCTTGGTAAACCTACCACTTTGTGTTATCCGTTTACTGAAATTTGGTCAGTGGAAGACATTTTATTGTAAAGAGCAACAAGAGTTTCATGGTTATTTCTTCGTGATACTTACAAGATCGAGTTTTTAGGCTGTGTGCTGTAACGTGTTTATTGGTAATGTTTTTTAGAATAGTTCCACAATGTTCACTGTATGGGAGCAACTGGAATGTCCTGTAAATAATGATGTTCCTAGTGAGGATTGCCTAGGGAAAAAGGTTTGTGATTCTGACATTCTCTTTACAAATAGTTTTTTGTGGTTTATTCTTGCAAGTGCTCCCAGCGTCAAGGGCAGTACATGCAAAAGGCTAATCCCTCATATATAACTGTTTTCCATATGTAGATGGATAAGGATTAGTTCTGGCTTTATTCAAGGGCAGGACAAGTACATTATGGTTGTTGAACCTAAATGTATTATCATATTTAGAACTTTGTTCAGGTGTTGTCAAATGCTACACGGACAATGGACAATTATTTCGTATCACCACCTGGCAATATACCACTAGCTGAAGCGGGAAGCCTCGATCTTGACCTCATCAGTCAATGGGATAAAATTGGCTTACCGCGAGCCTTCAAACCCAAGAAGCAAAAATCGGATGTTTCTAGTAGTTCCTGAATAAAGTTTATATTTTTACAAATCATGCCGTTCAAAAGACCATTTCAATACAAGTTCATCTCGGTAAATTGTAGGTGGGGTTTACTAGCAGGGACTCTGCAATCTTGAAGGCTAGGCTTTTTAGCTTGTAAACATGTCTTCCGCTATCTTATTCGTGCAACAGAACGGCATTCATTAAGCGGTGTCTCGAACATTTGTCCTTTTGTCATCAGTGAAGAAAAAAGGGGCAAGCAAGCGTAGTGTAGTGGCAAGTGGCGCAGTATCACACCTGCTGGTTCTGATTTCGGAACGGCACTAGCCATGGGTAACAAAGCCTTCCATCACTCTGGGTCTATTGATGGGTACCGGACCCGTCTGGGAGGATAAAACCACTGGCTTGTACATCGATAGACCACCGTAAGTCAATGTATAGGCCAGATACCTCTTCAAAACGCCAGTACGATTCTGAACGAAGGTCGAGTACCGGGGCATTCCAAAAAAGGGATTGATTGGAGGCAGAAGGCCCATTTGTTGTCCTTAATGTAAAGAGGATCGAAGAGGCTTGAATTCTTACAATTAAGTGGATTGAATCAGTTTGATCCACCAAGATGTTGGTCAGTCCGTCTTCATCAGATTTGATGGCAGGGAAATCCTTTTGTCTTATAAATATCCACCTAGATTTGGAAGAATGAGAGGTGTGGAGGAAAGCAAGTCATCGCAAAAGAAGTTACGAAAGAATTTCTATACGAATGCTGTCGTTATTTGCTGCTATTCATGTTTTTCCTTATGCTCTGTTGGCTATTTTTTCACGCACCGTCATTTTTCTATGAAATATTAACGGAATCATCGCGGATAAAAACCGTCTTAGCGTGTAAAACATCGGCAGCATCGTTGAATTCCTATGATTAATGAGTAGTGAGGTAGCGAAGAAGAAAATCAGATAATGAGGTAAATATCGCTTTTTAATTCAACCGGAAATATAACGACATTACGTCATTTTTTCTTGTTTACCCACCAAGATGCCTCATTAATGTCACCTCACCGACGAATGAGGAAGCTTAGGCTCAATCTTTAGTGACATTTCTTCGTGCTGTTCCCCTTTTTCCCCTCCATCCCAGGTCTATACTTAGACGAGCTCGATATTCACGGTTTCCATTCTGGGCAGCTGGCTGCAGTGTTTTCGAGCATAAATACTGGCACTAAGGTCACTGTAACAATAGAAGCTTCGTTTCAGGGTCTTCTCTTCATTTTACAAACAAGTTCTCGTCCTTCCACCAGACGCTTGTCCGACGAACTCTGCCCGAGACTTATGTGGGCCTGACATCACCCGCTGCCTACACAGTCACTCTACACAGTCTCGTTCAACCCTGTAAAGCCATGGCGCATTCCAAAAGCCACATCAGTACCCATTAACTACTCGCTGGCTGATTCGTTTTTGGATTGCTCTCATTGCGTCTGTGTTGTCTATATGTATGTATGTATGTATGTATGTATGTATGTATGTATGTATGTATGTATGTATGTATGTATAAGGCGGTGAAGCTGGTGTGGTGGCAAGTGACGTACTATCACACACTCATGGTCACGGGTTCGAATCCAGGCTCAATACCGGGCCACATCCCTTTAGGGTCGGTTAAATGGTGCCAGACTCGTCTGAGAGAATAAAAGCACTGACTTGTACATCGGCTGGCCACCGCAAGTCATTGTATAGGTCAAATACGCATTCAATACTCCACTACGATTTTGGTTGAAAGTCAAATGCGCAGCGCATCCCTCAGAAAGGATTGGTTGAAGCCCAAAGGCCTTTTTCATTATCCTTCATGTAAAGGAGTCATTTCAAACTCCTTTAGGATTTTGAAAAAAAACGGCTTCCTGCAGTAACAAAGCCATTTTTCTTCTCCAAAGTAGCAAAAGTTCCTTTACCTCCCCCTTTGTCGAGTTACCAATGAATTTGGTTTTCTGAAAAAAAGATATATTATCTCAAGGATGTTGATGCATACAATATCACCCATTGCTACCTTCTATCAAATGGAGTAAGAACCAACTGCATCAACCTCCAAAATTTTCTCGTAGTTAAAAATAACCTAACCAAATCCCATAAGAGGTTGTGTAGAAATGGATGAAAATCGTAAAAGAGGTTTTTCCCTTTCTTGTTCTTTCATCGGTTTCCCTAGTAACATTTGAATATGCCTCACTTCTTCACGCCCTTCTTTCTTTTCACATTCAACCCGCTCTGCTCGAGTTCTTCATTTTCCGTTCTGCAAATCTTGTCGATAAGATTCCTTAATACCAGTACTTCTTCTGCACGATCCGACGCGAAATGCCCAGACAAGTAAACCATTGCTTTGAAAAATTTCTTTAAAAAAAAGTAAAAATCCTAATGATCGTCAGCTTATACCCAAGAATGGGAGCTTGATGCCCAGTTTAATTCCCCATTTTTAAGAATTTTCTATGTTCCTCTAAAAAAATGTAAAAAAAAATGCAGAAGCGAACAGAGATGCTAGGTCGCTACCAGATGGAACGAAAGTGTTGCCATGGGCTAATATTTTGAGCATGGATTATGCTCATTTTAATAGCTTCATTCAGTAGAAACTCAGAAATGTCTTGAGCAATCCCTCCGACAGATGCTGTTAAAGCATTGGAAAATTTAAATCAGAATTTCTAAAATAGAAATTGCAATCGCCTGGCTTCGGGGCCGATCTCTGTTCTTTGACCTTGGAGAGGTCGTCACTGATCATTCCACGAACACCCCTTCCCGCAGACGCTGCTCTCGCATCTTCAGGTGGACGGGGCTATCTGCATAGTCGCCCTGACGTCTTTGTTTCTAATCCTGCCCCGCAGCGTGCAACCTCAGGCCCATATGAGCACACTCAATTCAGCGGAGTGTAGCTGCTTTTCCTGGTTTTCAGTGGTGTTTCCAGTGTATTCCTTGTAATCCAATATTTCGGGATATCCTAGCATAAACTGTTTCGGTAGGGATTATTACAGCATTGAAAGGCCAATTTTGCAATTAATTTCAATGTTTCTTGGTAAGTAGGCGTAGAACGAGTCCCGAGGGGGATGTCATAGAACAGATATTAAGGAAAAAAGCCATATTTCTCTAGATGTACTCCCTCTATTACCCATTTGAAAACGTCATGAGCGTCCCACTCATCCTCTAACGCTATTTGCTCTTTTCATACTTGTAGAGACGATTGAAACGCCTCTCTTATTCCTCTCTTATTCCCGATTCTTTCAAGACCATTCGAGCTATCTCTTCGTAGTAATGTTTTTTGGATTTCTCCCCGAATTTCTTCTTTCTAAATGATGCAATGGCAAGAAGTGCACTATCACGCACCCACGATTAGAGGATCGGATCTCGGATCGATTGTTTGGCCAATAGAGCCTTTCGTCACTTTAAAGTCGGTTAAATGGTACCAGGCTCATCTGGGAGCTAAAAGGACTGACTTGTACATCGGCCGGCCACCACAAGACCAGCGTGGTTACTGACTGAATTCCTCCGGACGTCAAACGAACACCAGAGTTGCCGCCAGCGTGATGATGATGATCTTCTTCACAAAAGCTCTGAGCTAAAGGAATGCTACATTTCATTGCCTCTCGAGCAAGAGCGATTCACTGGACTACTCTTGCTCGCAACAAGGGTGAATGGAGACACTGCTGGTGTCCACTTTAGGAAGACCACGGAAGGTAATACAGGTCAAGCTTATACATGACTATAAACCCGTAAAGCCTAGTACTCATTGGATTTGGTATCAGAGCAAAGTACCCTGTGCAGTTAGGAGGGCTCACCCGGATTTTTGAAATACAACTTGAATAATGAACGATTTCTTGTCTTGTAACAAAGGTGATGGCAACTTGTGGAACTCAACGTAAATAACATTTTCACCGTAATCGGACTATGATCGTTCCGCTTCTGAATAGGATTAGCAAGGATTACTGGTATTAATAGAAAGACAATTTTGTGGAGTACACTGCTTTTTGTAGGAAAAGAAGCGCTTAATGAAGGACTATTCAGAATTGGTACTAATCGAGCCGATTTGGATGATTCAGCGTAGGCTATTATTTTTTAAAATTTGAAAATGGATTTTACTTCCTAATATTCACTTTGGATATGAAGTTACGCCTCGCAAAGCTATTAATTAACGAAATTCAAGGTTACGTGCAAGGCTTAGCAGACTTCCTAATTATTCACCCTTTGTGACATCACTTTTCAGCTGAACGACAGGATTTTCCATGAATTCTTCTTTGGTTTACATCTGGAGTTATCCACCCACATAATCGCCTTTTTTTCAAAATCAACTCAAAAATCTCTTGAACTTCGTTTTCAGACAGAGATTTCTTCGAACAGCACTAAACGTTAAGATTACATAAAACATTAGGGTTTAGCTGGAACCTTCGCATAGATCCGTGTAGCTTTTAGAGGATTGGAGCACTACCTGATTAAGAATTTTGCATCCATTAAGCCCGAAGGCATCTGACTCTAAACCTCGCTTGTAAGGACCTTCAAAGGTGCAGATCCACCTTATCTAGCGTCTACACTAACCTCGGTATAAGATTAAGCCTTCAGAACCAATGAGTCCAATTGTGGGACCGGCTGCAGCTTCAGATTTCAATTGAGAATTATGGTCACGTTTCAAATGTGTATGGTACACGTGCATTTTGACGTGTGTTGGGCCCCTATTGTCTTAAGGGGGGGGCATCCAGACCAATGACTTACGTCGATGGACTATGGGTCCTCTTAAAAGCATA